GAAATGGTTCTTTTGTTTAAAGATCTGAGAGTAAACACATAGTATTAACTTTACAGCCCTTCCTTCTGACCTTTATAGTCAGGAAAAAAACCTGTCAATGTGTTTGTTTCAAAGAGATTTCATAATAATGAGTTCTCAAATTAGCAGGACTCTATTGGTTTAATAAAATGTGCTTTCATATTTGAAGCAAATTACAGCAGTAAATTAACAAGATAAATTTTAAATCGTATGCTATGTAGCATATCACTGTATCATTAATATGCTTACTTGCAATATTAAGCGTGAAATGGGTACAGAACTTGCACTGTGTGCCTTTGAAAACAGCTGCACCCATATATCATCTCTGTAGAATAAAAACTGTTTTGAGGATGGAAGAGTTCTCACTGTTGTGAGTGGTTTGTTTTTTTTTTTTACTGCTGGACATTGCGATAAAGCAAAAAAAGCACTTGCTGGCCTTCAGCAGAGCTCCTGCTTGCATAATACAGTTTATTCTTTTGTAGCTCTTGGGGACATTAGAACTATTAAAATGGAGCTGTCTAATACACTGTTATTGTTCACTTCAGAAGTAGCATCCAGCTGCTAAAATGTTGCATTTCTCTTCCTTAAGGCTCTCTTGTGACTTTAGGCACTGCCCTGCACGGGATTTGTAGCAGGATACCATTCTTCATCAAGCATTTAGGGAAGACACTCAGCTTCTAAAGATTTACTGGATGGAATGCTCACAACTGCAGCCTTTTGGGAGATAGGGAGGGTTTCTTTATGGGCTCACCCTGTGCTCACATCCCCCTTTTGGAATCCAAGAGTTTTGTTATGTACTCTGTAAATTGCCTCAAGTGATTTATTACCCACAGCTGATAACATCTTGCTGCTAGACCTCAGAAAACTTTTTGTTCTTTACTGTTTTTCTACCGCAGTAGTTCCTTTCTGCCCCTTGTGGGATAGGCACACTGTTTTCCTACACTCCAAACAGAGAAAACAGGCAGAACTGTGGAGGAAGAAAACATTATACCTTATGTGTGGAAGTAAAATTTCATGACCTTGACAAGAAAGTAGATAGCAGAGCCAAGAATTGATCCCAGGTGTTTTGTAAAGTAAGACTGACTTGATATGTACAATGCTTGGATTTATTATAAGAACAAGCAGTAGAAAAAAATCAGATACTCCAAAATAAACCTACAAATCATGCTTTATGTATAATCCAGGTTCAGAAGTACTTGGTATCAACCCCGGTTTGTGCCTTGGAAAAATCTTGAATCTTCATTCCATCCCTCTACCAAACATACCTGCTTTGGGAAACATTTTCCTCTCTGGAGTGCTATCACATACTTTCTTGACTCAAGGACAGACTATCACATATATGCCTAATATTCTTTCTGATCAACACTTTCTAGAAAAAAATAGGTTTGTATTACTTTGTTGGGTAAAAATTAACTTTCTTTTGCTGCCACCTTGTGGGTCTCTCACTACTTCTAAGTACAGTGATTTTTGAAAAGTCTGGTAAAGAATTAAAATATGTGAAGTTCTCTGAAACATGAGCAGGTGTTTTCTGTGGAGGAGATACCAACTGCCCATTCCAGCCTTACTGCACCCTCAAAATAACTGCTAAATGCCATCAAGCACTAAGCCCTCTTCAGAAGTCATACTTACCCTGAAGAACATGAAATAATACCTTGTAGTTTACAAGTCTGTGTGGAATGTTTACAGACATTTTTCTTTCTTCTGGTACCTCTTACATGCTTCTGTAGTATCATCTTTCTCTCCCAAACTGCTAAATTTACCTATAACAGGATTTTTTACCCTAGAGTGAATATGAGTCACAGCCTCTCCTCAAAAAGAGAAAACCAGACCAGTGCAGACCTTGGTAGAAGTCAAAATTATTAATTAAGATTTTTCATTCCCTGCTCTGATCTCAAGGTGGCAGCCTCCTGATTATTTTTACTGTCTCAGACAAACAGCATTTGTATAAGAAGAAAAATAGCATTATTATGTTTTTCATGTAGGAAAAAAATCCCCCACCCAACAAACTTTGTTTGTTTGTTTGTTTGCTGATCTGGGAATGAGCAGTTTCTATTTTAATCAACATTAGATCATTTATGAAACAAACTGATCTGGCATGTCAGCTGGGCTAATGTTCCACATCTGGCAAAGCGGCAGCACAGGATTGATACCTGTCTCTGCCTTGCAAAGGTTTGGTTATTCAGGTGATGGGAATGTATTTTAGTGAAGTTCCTAACAGGTGTTTGGAGCTTCGTACCTCAAGTCCCAGTGGAAGTTAGGACACAGGTTCTGAGAAACTTGGGCCCTTTTAAACATTTTACTCTTGAAGTTTCTTGATTTTTCAAACTCATCTCTCAAAACATCAGGAGACTGGGTATTTACATTGCATATTGTGTCTGTGGCATGAAAACTTTGTATCAGCTATGATGAAGCCTTAGGTGACCTAGGGCTCACCCGGTTTTAATAACTCCCCTTACAAATTTTGTGTCTTATCTTTAAACTGTCACACCTAAAAGACTACTGTTATTTAAAATAGGTATCACCTAACAATACGTAAGACAATCAAAGGCAAACACTTAGTGGTTTTGTCTCTATATCATAAAAAAATAGAAAAAAACCCACCTTCAAAGGTTTGAAGTACATGATGGCACCTCTACTCAGTTCTTGCCTGTGGGACTTTGCATACTCTGAAGTAAGCCAATGCTTGCAGTCCATGTTTAGTTGAGGAATTCTGCATATGTAAAGAGACTGTGCTTTGTTTACCCAGTGTAAGAACAATTTGATAATGTTTTGTACAAATTGTTTTGGCTAAGAGTGATCTTTAATTTTCCTACCTTGTGAAGTTAGTTGTTTTTCTTTTGCTGGATTTGGGTTTTTCTGATGTTGCTTGTTTTTTTTTCTGTACACATTTCGCAGACCTATTCCATAACCCACTGGCACAAGACCCAGGCTACTGGCTTTATGTGATACATCTCCTTCCTTCAGTACAGCTCTTTGACAGGAAGTGTAAGGATTGCTTTACTCTTCTCCCAAAGCATTGACAGTTGCTTTTGATTTTAATCAGTTTGGAAGAATAGGTGAATTAATCTTGCCTGTTCTTTTGCATGCTTTTATTGATATAGTAAAAGATCTAGAGAACAAATACCAATTTGTTTTTTGCAAGATTTGTCAAGGTAATAGGATTTTCACAGCATAAACAGTTTACTTTGCCAAATGCTTTTGATTTATGCCTTTTTAAACTGTGCATGTTTGTCTTGTATCTTGGTCTGTATAGTTCTGGGTAAAAGATAAAAGCCTGTGCTTAGAAACATGTACCTACATTTGTGCATTCAAACTGGTATATGCACATTGGTGAGCAAGTTTACTTAGATATGGGTAATATCCTCAGCTATCTATGTGTTTCTGTACAGTTTAAATATTTATATCACATTTCTCGGTGAAGTTCGTGCTGACCAAGTTTTCAAGTATGTCTTCATAAATCACTAAGAGATCTTTCACAGTTTGTCTACTGTAAATTTTAGGGGGAGAAGGGGGGGGGGGGGGATGTGTTAAGAACAGCCAGATGATAAATCAGACAATCCATAAACATGCCTCAGTGGACCCAGAAAATCGTCTTTGGTGATTTTTGTCTCTGGTGTTTGGAAAGCTGTGTGACTGGCAGGAGGACTGAAAATTACTGGAGAGCTCTGAGAAACAGAGCTCTGTTGATTCCTACCCCAGTACTATCTTATAAGAAAGTAGCAAGGAAAAACAGTGTCATCCTGAAAGCCTGCTCCCAAGTCTCTAAGAGTCAGAATGCAGGACTTGAGCAAGGCAGCCCCAGGACATCTGCAGGTGCTGGCAGATTGTGTAGCTTTGTTGTGAAGGAAAGCTGGTGGATGGACCACAGCTGCTGGATCTGACCGCGTGGCCATTTGCTTCCACATTCATTTTGCACTGGTACCTCCATCAGTCTCTTGCATATCTGATGATGTGTTAGACCTGTTCTTAGCATGTCTGTCAGACTGTTTTACTAATGATTGTTTTTGGCTAGGGAGTGAAGACTGAAGCTTAATGTGTTGGAAAATGTGTGTTGCATTTACAGCTCTAGAAACACTTCCGTAAAACTTCCTGGACTTAACCTTCTAAATACACTTATACTGTAATAAGTCCTGCATTAAGGCTTGTGGCATTAATTTGCATCAGACTGTACCTTGGACTTTCTATTTAGTGAGCTATTTCTCTAACATTACAAAGCTTCTTCCCCATCTGTGGAACATTACCACAGCATAGTCCTGGCTGTCTCCTTTACTCAAGACATGTGCTCACGCTTCTGTTACCTCCAGGCATGACTACTGCAGTTCCTTCCTAATTGGTCCCCTAGACACCATGACTTCAGAACTTCCCTGAATTCAGAATGCTTCTGCCAGAGTTATTTGTTCTAAACCTTTAGCTCACTTCTGTTCCATAGCTGAAGTACTGCATTAGTATGCAGTTTATATCGTTGAAATTAACATCGCCAACTTGACTTAGAGCTTTCAAACTTTCTTAAAAATTAAAAATATTACTGAATTAAATGCAAAACAGGAAAATTTGAAGGTTTTATTTTAATTGCACTCCAACAGTTTTCTCTGTAAACAAACAATGGAACTGAACTGGCCTTGACACGGGACTTGTTTTTGCTATTTATAACGAAGCTTCCAAATCTTTACTGACTTCTGCAGTAGATCTCATTTAAATGGTATGAAAAGTCTTGCTTTCTAGTTTCTTGGCTTAAAACTTCTGATCCTACTGCACTCAAAAGAAGAAACTTCATTTTATTGGATAGGGTTTCACCCTAAAGCCTTAGGAAGTATTAGCCCATGTTCCAATTTTGAATTGTTGTGAAATTACGTAGATTTACATTGCTATTGTTACAAAAGTCTGCACAAAAAAAAAAAGTGAGTTGCCTTCTGCATGCAGATGAATAGTGCCAGCCTTTTCAGCTGGTAAGGGAAATAAAATGTTTATGTCCCTTTTAACAGCAGTTACACAAAGAGAAAGGGAGTTGGCACTTCATCTTTATCACTACCAAAGGTCTGGTGTCATGCAGTCCATAGCTTTTGGGAAGAGAGTAGATACACCCCTGGAGACTACAGCAGGATCTAGCAGATGCACTCAGCCAGCCAGAAGAGTGATGATGCCCTCAGGTATTTATACTAACATAAAGAAAAGCATACATGTTTAGGTGACTAGAATTAGAAAAGGTTCTTCTCCTTCATCTGATAAAAAGTTGTTTGTTCTAGTAATAAAGTACAAATGAATCAGGAACTCAACCAATTTCTTTTAGGAAGTAAGCAGTAGTACCAGCAACAGGCAGCAAATGAATCCTTCTACTATGAGTATTGTAGCAAATGAGTTCTACTCTCTCGAATTACAGAATTGTCTTTGAAGGTAGCTGAACAAACAAAATTTCATTATTTTTCCCATCGTGTGTCTTGTGTTTACTTTTTTTTAGTTCAGAGCATCTCGAGACACTTCTAGGCTGAGCCTCAGTGACCAGCATCACAGAGTTCTGATGCCCCCTAGTGCTTTTGTAAAATAATCTCTTGAAGAAAGCTATTTCCTTCTAAACAGTGGTTTTAATTTTACATTTCTTGACTGGTTTTGTAAGCAGATTCCTTTTTATGCTTTCCAAGATTGAGACTATATTAATGGTGTCTTATAATAGCATATAAAGTAATTTTTAAAATTCTTAAAATATTTGGATCTGAAAGACAGCATGATCCTGGCACAAGAAAGTAGGTGAATACCACCTGGAACCTTGTGACTTGTACCACAGGAGATAGCCAGAACAAACCCTGCAATCCCATGCAATCTTACCTGCTATCATGGCGTTTTAAAGATAAGAAAACAGTATTGCGCATGGCTGACATTTTAAACAGTAGTGTAGATGAAGTCTGGAACAGTAACAAAATACCTGCTTTTTTTTTTTTTAAATTTATATCTCACAATAATAAACCTGAGAAAAGTGGATTTAACAGTAGTTTTGAGAAGGCTGGGAAAAAAAAAGATAGTTTAATCATATTGAATAATTGGCTTATTTTGCTGGTAATTTTCAGCGTAGGCATACAATTGTCTTTATCTCTACCATGCCATGCTTCATGTATATAGACAGTGTCATCATCTTTCTGTGAAAGTACAACAACAACAAAAAAGAGGAAAGAGGCATGGAAATGTATGTTTATGGGAAATAAACCACAAGAACTACATACACTTAAAAAAAAACCCCTTACAGATACTTGTTTCCATAGCAATTTAATTAAATATGATTTTGAACATTTCACATCATCTGCTAGGTTTTGGTTCATTTGAACAAGTACTTTAGGAGTAGGATGTCCTAAAGTCATAGCAGTCATAATCCTCAGCTAATGGAAATGCTGTACAGCCATTAATGTCTTCATTTGAACTTTTTGTTACAGGTTCTGAATTTGGAAATCAGAGAAATAAGTAAGTGAATTTTTGATTTTTTTCTTTTGCATCTCTGAAGTTTTATTTAATTTCCTTCTCTTGTGCCTAAAAAATACCCTCACCAGAGGATACAGCCAGGAAAAACGAGCTTTTGAACAAATTTATGGGCTTCATATGTAACATAGTTGCAACTGTATACTGTTCTGATCAGACAACCTACCCACTGCTGTCTGAAATTTAATATCGAAAGGTATTGCACATTTGGAAATGGGTATATAAAAATGCTATTTATTTATAAGATCAAATGCTGAACACAGGAAAAAGCATGCTTTAAGTATTAGAACATTAGAATAGCTGTTCTATATTATGGCCCAGAAAACTTTCTCCTGACTGGCTGTTCAACATACATACTCTCTGGAAAATATTATGACTTACAGAATGAAACATTTTTAGACTGTACTTGATGTTACATGTATTCTGTTCAGTTTCAAAACCCTAGAAATAAACGTAAAACTCATCTCTGTGTCTGGATTGAAGCAGCATAAATGTTGCATTTTAATGTGATGACATTTTAGATGCTATGTTTATAAAACTTCAGATATCAGGCTTGGGTTTACATTCTAGATTTACATGTGAAAATATCTGAAACATTTATTAAAGGAAATAATAAAGCCTACATGGGATGATATTCTTTAACAATTTAATTTTATACTGCTGTTCACTTCGAGTACAGCTCTTTACAGTCAAGCTATTTAATGTTTAAAAATTGTTTCCTGCTTCCAGTTGAGTTAGCTGTCCTTATTGATAGAATGGGTATACAGCTTCCTCTCCATCTTACTTAAGCAGATGCTTAGGCTTTTGTTATGGCAGAGAGTGTTACACTCGGTGGAGATGGTTTATATTAGTTATGTGTTACTACAGGTACATCTTTAAGAAATAAGTTCTTATAAGATCGGGTTTTAATATTGCATCATCTGAGTGAAAAGTGTTTGCTCTAACATGGAGTCCTTCTCAATTCTGCACTGATGTTGTGCATTTGCCACTTTTTTTTCTCCGAGACTGAAGCTGTAGCAGGATACAGGAACAACACAAGCTCACTGTCACGGATTCAGAGCTTGGAGAAATAATATTTGCATCATGGATAGTTAAAAGATCCATCGTGAAATAAAAGTGCATTTGCATTAATGGATATCATATTGCTGTGATATAATAAAATTAGTTTTATGATTTCTGTTGAATCAGAGCATTAAAAGTGTACAACAATTTCTTTCTTTGGGGGGGGGGGGAGGAGAGAAAGCAGTGAAAACAAAATAGCATTTTTAAGTCTACTATAAATGCATTTTAAATAATTAATAGCATGATTTTTTACCCCCTTAGAATACTGTGATTCTGACCTTTTCTTATTTTGTTTTGCTTTCTTAAATCTGGTAAAAGAAGGAAACCTTCTGAAAATGTAACGTTTTCAGATCCTCACAGTTAGGGTCACCATGACTTCTAACTTCACTTTCTACACAGGGAGCATGTAATAAATTAGCTCCAAAGTAGTTCAGAAGCATTCAGAAAATGCACATTTTCTTTGTTCTTTTTGCAGAGAACCATTTGAGAACCCTGAAGATGCAGTTTTACTTCGGGCAATGGCAAGATCTGTAATGGAATTTTCCTATGTTGACTGGAACAATGTAGCCACCTCTCAAGAGAGACGGCTTGAAAACAAAGCAGCAGCAGAAGCCTGTAAGAAGCTGACAGTCCAATTTAGATGAGTGTTTGCTTCCTGAAGACGAAAAAGTCACGCCTTTCTCCAGAGTGGAGATAAGCCCCTTAAGTAAGTTACTGTCTCTATAAAACAAGTACATTAAAACATGCACCTAATTAAATGAACTTCCAGCAAAAGAAGTACTAGTGTAACATTCCTTTTGTCATCAGATATGTAATACAGAGAGGGGAGAAATTAAGAAAATGAATGATAGTGCAGGTTGCTTGAAATGATATTCTTACCATACTTTTATTACCAGAAATTATTAAAGCTAAACTGCAAGTTAATTTTTAAGAAACTAAGGATAAATAATTTCATTCTTTAGAGTTTCTACAGAAGAATTAGACTTACCGTGTTCACTAGCAGCAATTTGTCCTCCGCCATTAACATAAAGATATAAGAAAGCAACCATTAAGATATTCTCATTTCTGAGAGGGATTAAAGTATCAATTTGTGTGCTGCATGAATGCACTCAAAGCTCTCAGTTTTATGAGGATACTCAGTACATTGGAAATGTGATCTCCTAAGACTGCTTATACCTGGCACCTAATACTCTCCTAGGGTACAGGCCTGTGCTTGCTGGTCCCTTTAAGAGAGACAGGGCTTGCCATACAGAGTGTGTTGCTCTGAGGCTGCTGATAGGTTTTAACACTCTTCTATAACCACATGGGTCATACTGTGCTGTAGCACTACACCTGTCACTTTCGGCTTCTAAAGCTTACCATCCCTAGGGAAGCTACTGGGAGACATGCATGGAGATGGAAAACAACGCATTTCCTCATATCTTTCTCCCTCCATTCTGCCAAAGACCTAGAGTCAATGCTATGTAAGGTATCAAAGCCTTTCTTCAGCCTGTGGTTTGTCTTCCGAGTTCCTTCTTTCTTCCCTGAATTAGCACAGGACAGTCTATGTTGGCAGGGATCTCTGGAGTTTTATCTAGGCCAACCTTCCTCTTGAAAGCAGGTCTGAGATTAGGTTATCCAGTGCCCTCAAGGGGAGTTGAGTATTTCCAGTGCAGGAGGTACCACCGCTTCTTGTCAATCTCTTTCAGTGTTTAATTGCACTCCAGAACATTCTTCTTACATTTATATGTAATTTCACATGCAAAGACTCTTGGGCCTATTGGCTAATCCGTCACTGTGCATGCCCCATCTTCTCTACAACTACCTCTAGGTGATCAGATCTCCCTGAGTCTTCTTTTCTATGGGCTGAGCAAACCAAATTCCTCCAACCCTCTTACCACCACAGTGGCAGGATCTCTCTTGTTATTTAATGTCTCTCTTGAACTCAGCTGACAAAAACAGGACATCTTTGACCTACTGTCTGTACTATACTTCTGTCTTTGCTGATGCATGGCACCCTTTACCTTTGGTGCTGCCAGGGCAGACTGTTAGCTCCAGGTGAGCTTATTGCTCACAGGGGCACCCAGGCCCTTTTCAGCACATCCCAGGCTGCTTGGGATTAACTCCATCCCAGATACAGAACTTTGTCTTTGTTAAAGCTTATAACTCCTTTCACCTTTTTGATATTAGAGTCCTTTCTTTTTGATTTCAACTTCCCTATTTTTCTTGCTTAAAGTTCCATGCATTTTGTAAATGCCATTAAATTAGACTCATCTTTGAGGTTTAAAAGCAGTAACTGTTAAAGAATTTTACCATGCCTTGTAATCTTTTTGAGCATATAGATGGGCTCAAAGAAGACAATGAGTTATTTTATATGTATATAATCTTTTAGTGGTGAAAAGTCCATCAAAATCTTAGTTTTGGTTTTCCCACTGTTGCTCACAAGTGTCCCAGGAATACATAGGCTGAACAAAAAAAACCCTACCATGGCATCTAGAAGCTCTTTATGTTTACTACCTGTTTGCATTTGTAGTGTTTAAATGCTGGATGTTGTCCAACAAGCCATAAGTCAGTAGTCACTGACTGCAAACACATCCAGAGGCAATGCTCTCCATATATTCATTTAAGCATGGTCAATTCATAGAATCATATAATTATATAATGGTTTGGATTGGAAGCGACCTTAAAGCTCACCCAGTTCCAACCCCCCGCCATGGGCAGGGACACCTTCAGCTAGACCAGGTTGCTCAGAGCCCCATCCAGCCTGGCCCTGAACACTGCCAGGGATGGGGCAGCCACAGCTTCTCTGGGTAACCTATGTCAGTGTCTTACCACCTTCATAATAAAGCATTTCTTCTCTCTATCTGTTTACCTAAAAGTGAACTAGGCAGTGAGAGCTGTGATGAAGCAGATGGATTCACAGCTGCTATGTTTACATCTAGCCAAACAGTGAGGGAGGTGAGAATTCAATTTTTCCTAGTGGGATGCAGAAAAGCTTTTTGAGTCACAGACCCTTGAAGGTGCAAGAGTGCGTCTGTTGGCTCCACTGCTGTCTTGCCATTTAAGAGCTTGCTTAAGGGACAAGTACCCTGCATGTGAACATTCATTCTACTTTCAGTTCCCTGTCATGAGATGTTTCCTCCAATACATGATTATTCCAGAGCCAGTCATCCACCCAGGCTTGTGCAGGACCTGTCAACCACGACTCTCCAACAAAAGAGCTGTTACCAGCTCAAGCTGAGGAAGGCAGAGGTAGCTCTGGAGTGTGGATGCAAACCAGGACTCCAATCTGGAGCGCAATTTCTCTGAGACTCACTGCAAAGAGAGGGACATATGCCATTCTGCCATTCCAAGCCTCTGCCATTGCAAGTTAGGATGAGAACAAATGCAACTCCATAATCCCACACTTCACACCTACTTTGAGTGTTCATACTTTCTCCTGTCACTTGGGCTTTTCTTCTTTACCAAGAAGAACCACTGGCTGGCAGAGTGAAAACAGGATTAGTGCTGTGGATTCTACCACACTGCTAAAGGGCTGGCAATTCAGAGAAACCTTGAAGAGCAACACACCCCTGTGAGCCCCAGATGTTCTGTGTAGATCAGGGAACCAGCAGGCCTTCTGCATTCCCAGACCCAAGGGTGGATGGTGATGACATCATGACCCCATATCTAAGTTCCAGGCGTGCATCTCTTGCTTGCCAACTGTCATGAAATGAAACTTGTACACCTGAGCTACAGGAGGCCTGTGCGTGACCCAAGGAGAATGTCACTGTATGTCCCAGGAGGTGTTACAGGTGAACAGAACTGCCACACAGCTCCCTTCTTTTAAAAACTTTCCCTTTATTATTCACAATTTTCTAATCCTTGAAATGAAAACACAGGTACACTCCCTGCACAGGTGCATTTATGTATCCTCACTCTCACAGTTTTCAATATATTAAATAGTACAAAATTAATAGCATTTTTTCTCTGCTTTGAGGATGGCCCTTATTCCTGTAAGTTGAAGGATACTGCCATGTTCAAAATACCAGTTACTCATCCAACGGTCAGAGAATCTCAAATGTTGCCATCCTTATGCAGGAAGCGATACTTTCAGTTGTGGCATTCCCACTGATTTCATGTAGGAAATCTGAGTGAAAACGTCACAGTTAGGGGAAGATATTTTCTAGAGGCAGTATTTAGTTGAAAACCTAAGTGAAATCAGTTCTGGTTGTATCGATGCACACAGGAATTTTCTATGTAATTCACCAAGACCAGGTTCAGCATGAACATTATTAAATACTAAGCATCTTCTGTATTTATGAAATAAGCAACAATTCCAGTGTGCTCTAAGGAATCTTTACCTGAAAGCTGAGACTTAGAAGCCATGATTCTTGTCAGTCAAAACATTTTAAGTCATTCTGGTCTTTCCTTCATTAGACCTTAATAAACCTAGAATATTTTTGATCAAGCCACTAGTGAAATAATTCTGTTGAAACACACATTTAACAGTTAGCTTGAGATATCTGAAACAGCACTGCCATTCAATAAATTTGCCCCCGAACAGACACTACTAGTTGTGCACTCACTAGTCAAAAATACTCAGTCATGAAAAGTTAGGAATTCAGATAAGCCTCTTTAGAAACTGAACTGCTACTGAATCCTTCAGATAAAGCTTCATGAAGTGGTGTAAAAAAGAAATTTAACAATTGGTTTCCCAGTACGTTAAAGTGAAGTTCTGTGTACTTTGAGAAAAAAAATATTTAAATTACAATTAAAATAAATTTTAGTGTCTGAAAACATAAATAATCCAAATCAAATGCTTTTTATTTTTCACTAAGTGGTTGATTAACCACAGATACTCGTAGAGTTTTACTATGCTTACTGTTGGTATACACACAAGGTAGGCCTATGCCACTCTAGCTTTTATCAGATAATAAGTACCTATTTTGACTATCTACAACAGAGCCTTAAGTATTTAAATACAAATGAGCCAGTATTTCACCTCATGATGAACAGAGACATGTTGTCTTGCAAAGGGAATCCTGTGTAAGCCATGCTGTAAGAACTCGGACATGGGCAGCATAACAAATTCCTTTGGACCCTGTGGTGCAGGGTCACAGCCAGAACTTTTAAATCCCTTCCTACCCTCTTCTTACTCCTCAGAACCTTGAATCTTCTGAAGGGCAATGTTAGCTAAGTCAGTCTCACTTTCCAGTGGTCTTTCAGGGGGCAGGGCTGGTGCCTCCATCTCTTTGGTAAATTCACGTTCTTCTGCTTGGTCAGTAGCGTGATTTGCATCTGCTTTGGTAGCATCTGGACCAGGGTCTGTCTGTTCTTCACTTGTAGAACTACCCTCCACTAGTTGCACTTCATCTAAACAAAAGAGAAATTGCATCATCACTCAACACTGAACTCATATGCAAGCAAACATTTTTATTACTGAAGAAAAATGAATTCTAGGAAACTCAGGATCAACTACAAAAGTGACTAATTTAACCAGGCTTCATCAAAGAAGACCTCACCCAGACAGAGCTCTGTTTAAGCTGGTGGAAGATTACTCTGAAAATGACCATATGCAAAGCTTTCAATAATTTATCTTCAGTTTTGCTATACTACTTGTGAATATATAGAGGAGCAGAGTAGGACACTACAGTTATTTTAGCTTTCAATTCAAACATGTTTTATTTATTCACACTGTTCTCAGAATGGCCGAAACATGGAGTACACGTAAGGGTTGTTTTTCTTTTAAAAAGACAGGCATGTATGATCATGTAGGAAGCATTTCTGCATATAACAGACTGAAGACATTTTTTGCA